CCTCGGCATGAACATCGGTAATGATAATGATCCGGAAATCAGAAGACTTCCGGAAGGAATTATTTTCTTGTCGCTTCCAGATGCTTGAACCATCATTCTGCATTATTTCAACGTATCAGTCATGTCAGAATATATTTCAGCTCCTTAATGAGCAATTTACATCGTTCAATAAATGAAATATCACCGGATGATAATGATTGATTACAATTTAACAAATGAATAGACGATTACCGAGAGCATAATACCATTTTCATTCATTTCAACTCCCATTTCATTCAAGAAGAAAAAATCTTAGATACCATCAAGAAAAAAACGAAATTCGATATTTAAGTGATGGATTTGAAATGTATTCAGCAAAGAGAGTTATTTTTCTCCTATTTCATTGAAAAAACACTCGGAAATTCGCAATATTCGAAAGATTGGAATGCAGATTAAAAGGAATACAAGGAAGCCGACTGAAAGAGGAAATTCTCATTCGATTTCCTCAATACATTCCATTATTCTCTTAGAAAATAGCTTAACAAAAGAAGAGAATAATGTGACACCATTTAATATCATTAGAGTTTTTGAGTTTGAGTGAAAACATAACGGAAACTCGAAAACATTGCTGAGATTTTTCAATTGTGAAAGAATTTTTTTGATTTGATCAAGAAAAAAATTACCGCACCATAAATTTTCCTTCGCAATTGTTCCAGTTTGATGGAATAACGTTCATCACGCGATGCGCGATACTCCTCGATCACCCATTCATGATTACTTCGCCAGCATTCTATTATATATCTGGCGAGACTTATTTCTGTCTGAAAGTTTTCTCAAAATGGCTTTTGAATTTAACATTCTCAATGATTTCAATAAAAATGAAGAATTTCGAGTCGTTCATCATGTTATGGCTTTGATTTCAGTGACATTCTGTACTTGTATCACCTCTGATCAGGAAACTATGAGCTGCAGCTGAACCTTTAGTCCATTCTTGTGGCAATTCCCTTGGAGCGATACCGAACAATTGCTTTAAACAAACCCTTATCGAGATATATTGAGGATAGCACGAAACATCTTCGCATGCCTTTTTCAGATTGCCATAGAACGAAAGTTCTCACCGCAATTGAGGTAACGGTACGAACGGACCGCCATGAGTGAGTAGATGAACTTGGGATTGCGGCAATTGTCAAGTGATTGATTAGAATTCAACAAAACATGAAGCAAGCAAGGAATAGCAGGACGAACCTTGATATGAGCGTACATGGCGATAAAAAGACCCAAGAAGAAGAGAACTGCCGAGGCGAGTGTCGCTGAACTTAGAATGTTCTCCCATTCACGGATTTCTGACGATAATGCCGTAACACTGAACATTTTCTATTATCGTATCGGGTATAAACATTGGGATTATTCAGTGATTATGTTATCAGTTTGATTATTATAATCAAGTTTGTTTTTTTTTAGAGGGAGGGGATTTCAGTGATCAATTCCTCATTCATTTAATTTCTCAGACAATATCTAGGAACTAGCTGTCCACATGACCAATGGAGAGTCTAGTTATCGTTATTGCTATCACAAAACTTCTCAGTGTACATGAATATATCAGTATATGAAGCTTTAGGGTAAAATATGAATA